CTGAGTCGAGCCCGAGGACAGGGGACGTTCTGTGCCATTGATGCCTGTGATGATGCCACACGTGACAGGATCATGCTCAAGGCCAGAGACAAAGGTATAAAGCATATCAATATATGGTGTTTTTCTTTTTTATGATGGCTCCTTTGGTTCAGTTTTGCACTCATGGAGATCATGGAAGGCAAGTTTATGATATTTGCAAAACTAGACAATAATGAGGATAATCCTTTGGCTTAGCAAAGCCAAAGGGGTAAAGAAATTTACGATGTTGTCATTTCTGTTAGCAGTAACCTTAACTTATCTTTAATATAGCTGAAACTAATCAGCGAAGTCATCAAAGGAATCATATTTGAAAGTGCTAGATATCTGTCTGATATCTCTGTAAAAAACAATTATTGTTGTTCCATTTTGTTTCGTTGGCAGGCGTCCTCCTCGGGGGCTGTGGGGATCGCACAATCAGATTCCGCCCAGCTCTGGTTTTCAAGGAGTATCATGTGAACCTCTTCCTCAATATTTTTAATGATGTGTTGGCGCAGCACAAATAGATCCTTTCCAAAATCCTTCTAAAAATATACAATCCTGAGTTAAATCAGAATGGGGGAAAACGTAACTCTGGACAGTTTAAGAAAAGAGAAGCACAATCTAAACAAAATAAAATTCAACTAGCCCTGAGCTACAGCTAAAAGAAGGCTAGTTGTAGTAAATGCAAATTTTGTAGAATGTTCATGTTTCTGAAAATTAAATCTGTTAAAATAAGCCTAGAATCTTTTTAAATAAAGATTCATTTCTGTTCATGTACATGTATTCAAGTCTGGTTGAAGTTACTTTTTCCTGGAAAACAACTACTTAAAGAAAACAGTTAAACAATTTGTCTTTGTACAGAAATGTTGGCCAGTCTGCTCTGGAGATGATGAGACATCACACAGCTGTATTTTCCAAAATCTCGCCATTATAACTTATACTGAAGTATTTCATTTCACATTCACATAAAAAAGTGTTGGTTTTTACGTCAAATTAAAGTGCTCTCTAAAGCTAACGTTAGTTGTTTTTTGTGGCACTGTTCTGCTTAATTTCTGGAATCGGGAAACATAAAGTTTGCTTTATTCTTAATCTGGCCTAAAAACACTCTTGTTTTGAATATTACCAGGGAAAATATCCCTAATATGTAAAACATTAAACCTTTTTACATTTATGAATTGAGATATATGAGATTCATAAGTACGACTGCACATGTGGTTGTAATTCTGTAACAATTACTATAGCAATAAACACAATAAATGTCTTAACTCCTAATGAACTTTAGTTGTTGACTCATAGTGTTGCATAAAGCTGCTTTTAGTGCTCAAATGCAAGAGTCGCCTCACTGCATACATTCATCCTGCCACGCACCTATCCTGGATACAGAGTACAGTGTCAGTGCTGACTCTCTGTATGAACACAATCAATCTAAACTGTCCGTTAAAACTGTCCATAATGTTATGACTATTGTGTTGCTCTTAATAGTAATAAACTTGAAATGATGTAGCCAAGAAAATGTGACTCTTAAATAGACCATGAAAATGTCATAGATAATTTAGTGCCTGCATGTTATTTCAGTGTAACATTTTTTATGCCCTCTGCTCAAATGAGAGCCTTGGTAACACCATTTACTTTACTCTTAAAGAAAAAGAGCTTCATTGTTGCTGCTTGACATTTTATGGAAATATGGTTACATTTTGTTTTCAAGACTCTTGTTTTTGATTTCATTTAATACTTTTTATTTGTGACATTAGGGTGTACTTTGCTTTACTCTGTGTCACCTGGGATAGGCTCGAGACCGATGTCATCCTATTTGGGTTTTAAGTACATTACACTTTGCATAAAACCATTTCTGAGTCTGACACATGACAAACAAGATAATGTGCTCACAGTCATTGATTCAAAATAACATATTAAAAAGTTAAAGCATAAACACTTTAGCAAATACTAAACCCGTACAATCATTATGCTACTATCTACACTGTTTACACATAGAACGAAACAGACCCAAGTAAAAGTTTACTGTAGCTAGATAAGCTATTTTGTTAAGGGGGAGTTGAACTTAACGCACAGGTCTATTACAGAGGGTGGTCAAAAGCACACATTAGTTTCAATGTGAAGCTGAAATAAATTACCAAATAACTTTAAAGCTGAAATTCTTTTGACATATTTGGCATTTTAATTTTTTAAAGTCTGCTTCTGTAGAACGTCCTCAGTAGTAGCAAATGTTCCATGCAGTTTTTAGGCAAGTGTTAGGAATGTGATTCATGTCTTTTCTAATTATGTCTTTATTGTTTACCTATTAGAACGAAATACAAATAAACAATATTTCTTCTCCTTTTTTACATTTACGTTGCATAAATTTTACCCCTCTTAATGTAGTGAATTAAAAAACAGTTCACAGGGTCAGATCATCATCCTACACTTAATACTGAACATACATGAAGGTTGGGTTGTAGGGTGTCTCCTAATATGATGGTGATTTAGACAATGGTGCCTGTCTTCTTGTTGTCAGGCATTATATGGAGGATCTGTGATAATCTTAAAAAAAAAAACATTTACACTAAATACTTGCACTTGTGATTTAATATTGATGGTCATTGATGTAATTATTATAGATTGTTGTCTATAAAATATTCTGTCCATGTACTGTGATTAATAAAGTTTTGAGAAACTTGAGTTTTTGTTTCTGTTGAAAGGTTTTTGACCTAATAAAAATCATAGAACTGTAAATGGACTGATAGGTTATGGTATTCAGCTAGGTGTCATTCAAATCTGAAAAAACAAAGAAAGAAAAAAAACAAAACGTGCCCCTCAGAATTATTTTTCATTTTAAATGTGCAAAAACTTTTAAAAGGGAACTCACAGCTTAAAATATGCCACCAGCTCCAAAAATAATAATCATTTAAGGTTGAATTATACTAAATACTTAAAGTTTTATTTAACTGTGTTATATACGCTATGACACTAATCCTATATTACACTGAATTTCTGTACTCAATATATACTAACAAAGTGCTATCATTTAAAGTGTCATATTTTATTTTCTACAGGTGAAACTCGAAAAAATTACAATATCATGCAAACGTTCATTTATTTCAGTAATTCGACTTAAAAGGTGAAAGTATTATAATTGTTATAGTCTTGATGGTTATGGCTTACAGCTTATGAAATCCCCAAATTCAAAAGCTCAGAAAATTACATGAAATCAATAAAACAAGAATTTTAAATACAGAAATGTCGGACCTCTGAAAAGTATAATCATGCATATGTTTGGGTCCCTTTTGCATGAATTACTGCCTCAGTGCGGCGTGGCACTGCTGACGTGTTATGTGAGCAGCCTTCAGCTCTTCTGCATTGTTCGGTCTCATGTCTCTCATCGTTCTCTTGGCAATGCGCCATAAATTCTCTGTGGGGTTCAGATTAGACGAGTTTGCTGGCCAATAAGCATCGTAATCCCATGGTCATTGAACCAGGTTTTGGTACTTCTGGTAGTGTGGGCAGGTGCCAAGTCTTGCTGGGAAATGAAGTCAGCATCTCCATAAAGCTCGTCTGCAGAAGGAAGCATGAAGTGCTCCAAAATGTCCGGGTAGATGGCTGCGTTTACTCTGGACTTAAAAGCACACTATCACTCACTATGTGTTAATAGACCTCTCTGCATTGAATCATACTTGTTATTAATTTCTGGCTCTCTTCCGTAGCATGTCTTCTATCCTGTCACCCCAACCGGTCGCAGCAGATGGAGTTTTTCCTTCCCACTGTCCACAAAGTGCTTGCTCATAGAGGGTCATATGATTGTTGGGTTTTTCTCTGTATGTATTATTGTAGGGTCTTTCTTACAATATAAAGCGCCTTGAGGCGACTGTTGTGATTTGGCGCTATATAAATAAAACTCAATTGAATTGAATTGGATCAGCACCAGCAGATGACATGACTTCCCAAATCAGCACAGACTGTGGAAACTTCACGCTGGACTTCAAGCATCTTGGACCTTTCCATTCTTTCTCCAGACTCTGGAATCTTGGTTTCCAAATCAGGTGCAAAATTTGCTCTCATCAGAAAAGAGGACTGAGCAACAGATCAGTTCTTTTTTCTTTAAGACGTTTCTGACATTGTTTGCTGTTCAGGAGTTGCTTGACAAGAGGAATATGACATTTGAAGCCCATGTCCAGGATCTGTCTGTGTGTGGCTGCTCTTGATGCACTGATGTCCAACTTCTTTTGCAATTACCGTTTGAGGTTTCCTCCTTATGGAGGCTGTCAGTGATGGTTTTCTGGTACAACTGTCATGTCAGCAGCCTTCCCCATGATTGTGACTCCTACTGGACCAGACTGAGAGACCATTTAAAGGCTCGTGAATCATTTGCACCATTTGCAGGTTATTAGATTAATTAGCTGATTAGAGAGTGACACTTTGAGCCTAAAATATTGAACCTTTACACAATATTCACATTTTCTGACCTTTTGAATTTGGGGTTTTCATAAGCTGTAAATCATAACCCTCAAAATTATAACAAATAAAGACTTGAAATATCTCGCTATGCATGTAATGCATCTATATGATATATTAGTTTCACCTCTTAAGTTGAATTACTGAAATCAATGATTTTTGCATGGTATTGTAATTTTTTCGAGTTTCACCTGTAGCAGCCTAAGTTTGTCTAACATGATCGTTTTCTTTTTTGTTTGTTTGTTTTTGTTTTTTTCGTGCACGCGCGCACTACGCGTACTGTCATATGTCTCCCTAACCACTTCCGGGAAATAGGGCGTATGTGAACCACATGACGATCCCTCGCCTCGATTCCTCGACGGGAGCGAATGATGGTTATTACGTGGACCGTTTGCATGACAACGTGGCGGTAAGAAGCCAATAAGAACTTGCCTTGAAACGTTTCCCTCCCGCCCCGCCTCCATACTTATTATTGGTTAGAGTTTTCTTTAAGGCACTGATGATTGGATAGCTGTGTATCTAAACCCGCCCAATTGCCATTGTTATTTAAAGTTAGCGTTTGCCAACGCGGACTGTTTCTGGAGCGACCCTCTACCTGTATATTGTAAAAAGTGGCGCAACAAAGCTGGTGAGTTCATCTTTTTCTTGCATGTAAAAAGTGATGTGTGGTGTATGACAGAGCTTTTGTGTATTTATTCTATCAGAACTTTAAAAATGAATTTCAATGTTAAGAGAGCGAGAAAGTGATTATGGATGCTTTTACCTCATGATGACATGAATCGTTTACTGTGATTTGACGCTGCGGATACCAGATTTTTCTTTTTTCATCAGTGTCAATAATGCATTGTTGCTCCTGAACTATTGAGCTTGCAGACGACTTTTAAAGCAAAGAAATAAACAAGAATGACCAGCTCAGAAAAAATGCTGGGAAAAGACTGAAGAACTCAAATTGTATGTCAGTAAAATGAGTTGTACTTATTTTGTTGAATGAAGTACAGTCTTCAAATGTTGTTGGTTCTTCGTTGTCTCCTATTCATTTATATCCCTGTGCATTTATAAATATCATATATATATATATATATATATATATATATATATATATATGTATATATATATATATATATATATATATATATATGTATATATATATGTATATATATATATATATATGTATATATATGTATATATATATATATATATATATATATGTATATATATATATGTATATATATATATGTATATATATATATGTATATGTATATATATATATATGTATATATATATATATGTATATATATATATATGTATATATATATGTATATATATATATATATATATATATGTATATATATATATATATATATATATATATATATATATGTGTATATATATATATGTGTATATATATATATATGTGTATATATATATATGTGTATATATATGTATATATATATACATGTATATATGTATGTATATATATATATATATATATACATGTATATATGTATGTATATATATACACGTATATATGTATGTGTATATATATACATGTATATATGTATGTATATATATATATATATATATATATATATTGCAACTTTCAGCTATTGTGTTTTATTCCTTGCGTAGTGTACGTGTGTTTTGTAATAGTGTATTGTGTGTTATACTTTGTGCTGTGTTCTCTCATATGGTCTGTGCTCTCCATGTGAATTTGACTTTTTGTCTTCTCTTCACCCCCTGAAGTCAGTTATGATGCTGCTGAATTCATTAGCATCGCTCTACTTCCTGGCCGCTGTTGCCTTTGCTGTGCCTGCTCAGGAGAAGCGCATCCATCACCAGCCTGATCTGAGTGACCACGCCCATGATGATGCTCACAGTTTCCAGTATGACCATGAGGCCTTCCTGGGTAAAGAAGAGGCCAAGACCTTTGACCAGCTGACTCCTGAGGAGAGCAAAGATAGATTAGCGTAAGTTGGACATACTATCACAGATTTTCTAAACTATCCAGTTCTGCCTCAGGGGCGGCTCTAGAGAAATCATATTCTGATTTCCATGGTGTGGCGAAAAATAAAAGCCATTTCTTCACACATATGCATGTGTTAAATTCCCTAATATGTATTACATATATTACATGGTAAAATACATCAAATGCAGTAAGTATGCACATGTTTTGTATAAAACGTGTATACTTACTTAGTCTGTAACTTTCTTAATGGTTTTAAACCAAATAATGAAACATTTCAGTTACATGAAAAAATATAATTTTGACTTTATTTACTGTATAAATAAAAATACGTACGTATAAAATTCAGAAAGATACACAATATGAGGTGGATACAAGTCTAACTTAAGTTTTACACTCACATTCACCTAAATATACACAAAATGTCAGAAATCTGCACTGTCATGAACAAATGGATGATTTTTCACCAGATATTTAAACCTAATTTTTCATAATTTATTGACTTTAAATTTATATTCAATGTAAATTGTAGCTAGGCTCTAAGGCATAAAACTAGGCTGATACTAATGTGTTAATTTAACTGGAGCTTTCGATTCTGTGTAATAATGAATGAATGACAAACTTATAGCTGTTCTGTCTAAGTATGCTCCATTTCAGAATTTTTACCATTCGATGAAAGTACCCTGAGACGATTAAAGAATGTGCCTCTAGTCAAAATGTAATTCCCATTTCAAAAAACAGTTACAGAATCTCTAATACTGTATCTAATATCTAATATGTTACAGTCCATGACAAAGTGGCTACAATAATTTGGTTGAATCTAATAAAGAAGCATGAAGCTTGCATGTTTTCTTTATGCCTCCATGGGTACTCCAGCTTCCTCTCACAGTCGAAAGACGTCAGTGTTTATAATCCAGTGTTATTTGAATTTTGTCATGGGTGTAACATACTGTATTGGTGAATGTAGCCTGTGGTCTAAAGCATTTCAGCACTTAGTAAGACTCATTACCCAGTTCAGACTAGAATTTCACATACTCCACATTGACTAGAGCCCAAATAGGACAGTTGGATATAAAAATTAGCATTTGATACAATAGTCTGGACACTAGACATAATCATGACTTGAAACTTCTCCATCTCCCTTCACAGGAAGATAGTGGACCGTATCGACACTGACAAGGATGGCTACGTCAGCCACGGAGAGCTGCATTATTGGATCAAACACCGACAGAGGAGGTACATCGAGGAAAATGTTAACAAACACTGGAAGGACTACGACAAGAACCAAGATGACAAGATAAGCTGGGAGGAGTATAAAAACACCACCTATGGCTACTATCTGGGTGTGTGTGAAACCTTAATAGTTCGATTTTTATTCTTTTCCTTTTTTCCCTATTTGATCAAATTTCCATAATCTCCTTTTCTGCCTGTTCCGCTTTTTGCTTTTAGTATCACCATAATAGTGGAAAATAAATGTTTTAATTACAGTAGAGACTAACATTGATTTCTGTAAACGGCACAGTGGATGAAGGGCGCAGTGTTATTTAGCAAGTGGAAATGCAAATGATTCAAATTTCTAGAGTTAGGATTATTCCAACGCAAGTTCCATCCAAAGCCCAATCACTCGATCACTGATTGTTTTCTCTCAAAGTGAAGATTTACTTGTGTTTCCTAAAGTTTCTTAAAGTAGAGGCAGAGCCTTCAGCTATGAGACCTCTCTACTATACAACTAGCTCTAAGTATTTAGAAATATGCTGGGAAACATGTCACCCCTTTTCACTTCCTTTGTGTTTATACACCACTACTGCTTGTCATTAAATTTGGCCTTTTCTTTCCCATAGTTTGAGTTTTGTGTGCTTTACTACTTTTCTGTTTCTCGTCAACCAAGTGCCAGTGGATTGTCCACACCCAAAAGACAATGATGTGCTGAAAATGAATCTTTTCTTTTCTTAGGAGAGGAGTTTGATGATATTGATGACAAGGAGACTTATAAGTCCATGCTCAAAAGAGATGAAAGGCGCTTTAAGACGGCTGACCGAGACAGTGACGGCATTGCCACACATGAGGAGTTCACTGCCTTCCTTCACCCTGAGGAGTTTGATTACATGAAAGATTTGGTAATTCAGGTAAAGCCTACTACTGATTACCGGGATGTAAATGTAAATGGGGCAAATTGTGTCTATCACTGGATTTTTAATTGTGAAAACTGAATGATATTCTTATGCAGGAAACTGTGGAGGACATTGATAAGAATGGGGACGGGAAGATCAACTTGGAAGAATACATCGGTAGGTTACTTACTTGACCATTTGAGCAGCTACTCTGCACTGGAGGCTGTCAGTCCTAAATGTGTGTATTATTCTTGTTTCACAGGTGATATGTACACAGCCGAGGATGGGGAAAGTGAGCCTGACTGGGTCCAGACAGAGAAGAAACATTTCTCGGAGATCAGGGATACCAATAAGGTAAAAGATCCTTAGTTCTTCAAAATGAAACAGATTTTTTTCATTAAGAAAAATAATACCTATAAACACAGTTATGGTACCAATTTGACATAAACCCATAAAAGTAAAAGGATTCGTTTCAGCCTCAAAAAAAATGGTCACATTGCTTACATTGAGATAATTGTTGATGTGAATTGGTACTATATAGATAAAATGGAACAGGCAATGGCTACATTGCTATAACCACTAGCATTTTCCAAGGTTTTTGGGTTGGTCCAACTTTAAGAAGCTGCTACTCCTGGTAGCAGATTCTCAGTGCCACTTAGGAGGTTTTAGACTGTTACGGTTACTTTTAAATGTTCTCTCTGTGTTTAGGATGGGTACCTGGATGCTGACGAAGTAGGACAGTGGGTTTTGCCTGGAGAGGTTGACCATGCTGACAATGAAGCCAAACATTTGATCCACGAGACAGACACTGACAAGGTAGACTAATCGTTGTTTAAATTCTAAATTCTTTTAATTCTGGTAGCTTTTTTTCTGGCTTTATTTTGACATTAAAAACCAGAGCAATTACGTTTATTTACCAGTTCATTTTTCCAACAATGTAGGTGTAGCCGACGAAAATACAGCACTTTATTTGGTCCGTCATGAAAAATAGTGGCAGCTGCCAAACATACTTCCATGTAAACAATAGCATTGTGCAAAATTCTTGAGCCCCTTCTTATATCCGTGTATTTTGTTTCCAAGACTTTCTTGTACATGTTAAAGGTGGTGTTGAACAATACTTCTTCAGGCTTCCTGAAGGTCTTTCAAAGTTTGTCTTTGAAAATGATCAGGTACAAAGACTGGGTTTAAAATGATTGAAAAAGTGGAAAGGTGATTGTCAAAAGCTGTCCTTAAGGAAGAGAAACAGGGGAAACCAAAGTAGTATAATTAAAAGCTAGTGGCAATTCAATTTATTTATACAGAGCCAAATCACAACAACAGTCGCCTCAAGTCACTATATAATCAACAACCAACCCCCTATGAGCAAGCACTTTGGCGACAGTGGGAAGGAAAAACTCCCTTTTAACAGATAGAAACCTCCGGCAGAACCAGGCTCAGTGAGGGGCGGGGCCATCTGCTGCGACCGGTTGGGGAGAGAGAAAGAAGACAGGATAAAAGACATACTGCGGAAGAGAGCCAACAACAGGTCTGAATGATGAACCCAAATTTGAAATGATTGATTCAAGGTGTTGTCAGTATGTGTGGAGGAGATCAAGAGAGAGGTAAAACAGTGAATAGCCATCTGTAAAACACAGCTGATAGTCTGTTATGGTTTCAGAATGAATATGAGCCAGTGGTGTTAACAATCTTGTCAAACTTGGTGAAATAATGAACAGTCAAGTTTTGATCTGTCATGCATTTTGGAAAGTGTGATGGCAACAGCTTCATTTTCCAGCATGACAGCGATCACAAACACACTGCATACCTGAATAGAAAAAAAACACACAATGGAGGCCTATCAGTAGCAGTGGACTGGCCTCCCCAGAGCCCAGACATTAACATTAAAGAAGCAGTGTAGGATTGTCTTGATAGAGAACACAACATCAAAAGAAGAAGTTTGGAATCTCCTTCAGGAAGCCTGGAGAATCGCTGCTTAAAGAAATGACAAGAAAACTTGCTTGAGAGTGTTAAGTTTCTTTTGAAGAATAAATGACTTGCAGACTAGAACTGTACAGTCTGTTTTTACCTGTATATGCTGTTCAGAGTGATTTTTGTATGCTCCCCTAACCCCTAACCCTTGTACAGGGTGCATCGAAAAGCTATAGACCAAAGTAATGGATTTAGAAGCTTGAACTAAATTTTAAAATTCATAGTTACACATGATGTTTTAGATACAAATCAGTTTTATTTATAAGGCACCAAATGACAACAAGAGTTGGAATTTATTTTAAACAGTAAAGACCCTACAATAATACAATGCAAAAGTTACAATGTTCACAAGTACTCAGTGCGTCCCCATTAGTGTCCCCTTGGGAAGACCATATGATAGTCTTACTCGTGTCATACTTTTGCAGGCATGTCTGGAGTCATTGTTACTCCTATGCTACCTACTGACAACCATGTGATACCCTCAAACCCCCTCTTTCTAACAGTACATATTACAATCATTACTGGTGAACGTTTGTGCAATTCAAGCACTTTGAAGTTGGTTTAATTCTTTTTGATCATTTCCATGTATTTTGAATTTTTAAATAAATTGCTGCACCTGTTTCCCTTTACTTTTTCCAGCAAAATATAAAGAATGAGCGGTGGCTCAAGACCTTTGTACAGTACTGTAATAAGTATAAGAGTTCCAGCATTTTGGAGAGTTTGGTCAACACAGCGCTAACTTAAAATCACTTGTCTTTGAAATAATTGTGTTAATTTTGGATTAATTATTAACAAGCTTCTTTCTGTCTCTTGCTTTCTTCATTACTCCTTCTTTTCCTTCTCTCACTCAAACTACTAAATCAATGAAACCAATGGATGGAATCTGGTGACCAAACAACAGGATGAGAGAATAACCAAGAAGGAGATTCTAGCCAACTGGAACATGTTTGTGGGCAGTCAGGCTACCAATTATGGTGAAGACTTAACGAAGAAGCACGATGAACTTTGATGAAAATGTAGCTATGGGGATATCAGAGTAGGCGTGGGACTTGGGTCTGGATTATGCTGTTTTAGTTGTGTAATCAATAATGTTCTTATAACAAGCAGCATGTCAAAATTTGCTATCAAATGTTTGTCTGAGTGTGTGGATGGGAGGGTGTGGGAGAGATTAAAGTCTTCTTTTTCTACAATTGTACTTATTATTCTTTAGTCACATTATGATTTAAATTATTACAAATATAATTGTCAGAGTTGTTCTCGAATTGTGTAAGATATGTTGCTGGTTTCTGCCTTTTTCGTGATTAAGTTTAGAGTTGCAGTGTGTAAAGGTAGAGTGTTCGCCCCATGTTTGGGGGTTGGGGGTTCAAATCCACCGAATGGCTACCCTGAAGTACCCCTGAGCAAGGTACCGTCCCTACACACTGCTCCCCGGGGGCTGGATTGGTGGCTGCCTACTGCTTCACTGAGTGAATGGGTTAAATGCAGAGAGTAATTTCCCTACAGGGGATTTATAAAGTATACAAAAAACATATTACTGCTAGATGACAGTAAGTTGCAGATTGTAGTCAACTGAATTATTTGTGTATAATCCTAGCTACGGTGGCTGCTGCAGGACAAATATGTTTTAACCAATTAGCCAAAAATAACATTTAGACTGTACACCATAATGGCTGTGGCCGGCCACTTTCCTTTTTCTCAATCGCAGCCAGTCAGCACGTTTGTACACACTACAAGGTCAAAACTTAGGAATGGATGAGAACTAAAACATGGTGGCTTCCACAAATCGCTCTAATTTATTTTTAATGGATTAATTATGAATTTCTAGGAAAGCATCAGTTTGCTGGAAGACATAATTACACAATAATCAATGTACATTTGAGTACAACATTCTTTTTCTCTTACAGTTCTCAATCGCTCTGGTGCAATGTTAATTTCATTGGGCATTTTATCATGGACCTTCGAAGACCTTTTTTTCCTGATGAAACAAGACGATAACTAAATAAAAACAAATGCACATGAATAAATAAAATATTAGCGGCTTTTGGCAGATATATGACATCAATTTCGAAATAATACAGCAGCTTGTTCTTGAGTTATTGCATTCAGAAGATACTTTGAGATCAAGATCACTGGGATTCAACCCGTCCAGTGTTTGTATTAGATGCACCTCTGGTATCAATTTGAAACGCTTGTGTTTCCTTGTTCTTGAGTTATCGCATTCACAAGCTTGGGTGTCCATGTCGCCTGCCCAACAGGATGACTACTCAGACTACTTAGCTTAAACCTTGGGGAGGGGACACGCATTTAGGCAGACTGATGATCAAATACGTATCCTCTCCAAAGTCACTGCGGGGAAAAAAAAAAGGTAATTTATAGAGGACAGACAGTGTGCATTAAGTGTAGGGGACAAACCAGTAACAAAATGTGTGTTTATCATTAGTGTTATCATTTTTGTCTATCACCCACCATTTCAGACAGAGATTCAGTTCAATCTTATTTACAGCAAAAGTCGCCTCAAGGTGCTTTATATTGTAAGGTAGAGCCTACAATAATCAGAATGAGAAGATCTGAATTATCTGGGTAGCAGACCATCATTTGCATTAGTAAATTTTAATAAAAGATTATTTCCATCGTTCACATCCATTACAAACAGATGCATTCCTCTGGAGAGGGACATGCTGAAATTATGACTTATAATTTTACAGTATTATGGTATCAAACTGTTTTCTGTAGTGTACAGTTTAAGCTAAGTAGTCTTCAACACGGCAGATGACTATGTCATGAACATTAAAGTGCACTGGCTTATTTCAATAAATGCCATTCAGTAATAAGCAGCTTAGAAAAAAGTGTCAAAGTGTTTAATGTATTTCTTTGCAAAAGACAATACAGTGAAGTGAGGAAGCATGGCAACTAGCTCCACCAAGGGTTAAATACTTTGGCACAAAAACCAGTATTGCTCTTTCTTATTGTTTCTACACATACTTCCCTACTAAAGACTATTTGCTACTGTATTGATGTACAGTAATAACCCCCCCCACCCCCAACTATCTATGAAAGAGCAAGACCGATTCACTGTCAGTAGTAACAGTGAAATTGCCTGTCAGTTAAAAGCAAATATAAACATGTTCTCAAAAGAGATTTAGTTGAAAGAAATAGAATGCATACATACTCTAAATCTTGTGTCATATTTGCACGTCATGAAGATTGAGATTTTGCTCCAGATCGACTTCACAGCATCACACAGCTGGCGCAGATTTGTCAGCTGTACATCCAAATTTCCCCTTCTACCAAATACCAAAGGTGTTCTGCTCTAAGTGAGCTCTGAGGACTGGAGTATACTGGAGTATATTGGAGTACAGCATTTATCCAGGTCCATTTGTAGCCTCAGTTTCCTGTTCTTAGCTGGTTGATCTGCTTTAAGGTGCAGTTGAGTGAGCGGTGAGAACTGACGTTCGCTGGATATTTCCTCTTTTTTAGACCATTCTTCATAAACCTGAGAGTTGGGAGAGCACCCTGTCTGGCATCAACAATCGCCACATTCAAAATCACATAAATCATATTCTACCCCATTGTGATTCTTAGGCTGACTTGGCCATGTCCACCTGCCTAAATGCTTTGTGTTGCTGACATGAGATTGGCCAACTGGTTATTTGCTTTAACAAACAGTTGAACAGGCATTACCAAATAAAGTGGCTGTTGAATGTATGTCATGTGACAGCAATATACATATACACTTGGACAATCGAGTAGTTGTGCTATATTCTCAGATTGTATACAGTTTTTTTCTCATGCATATAGTTTCAAACGTATCATTTTGCTTTTCTCAATTTCAGCAATTTTGTGAATTTTAAATAGATCTTTGAGATTTCATAATGTCCCGACCAATTCTACACAGCAGTGAAAAGAAAAATCAAGTCCAAACAAAAACACTGAAAGGAAGCCTTTTGGAATAACGTGCAGGATATGCTTTGCTAAAACTAAAATGTATTATTTGGGAACAGATGAGGTGATGCTTGTTTTGCATTAGTTTTTAATGTGTGTTGATTTGCAACATGAATTCGCATCCTTTGCCTTAATACTGAAAAAAACAAAACACAGGAACAGAGCGCTGCACAGTGAAGTTTCAAACTGAGCCTCCGCGGATATCTGGAAATGCTAATGTATCTCTCTGTACTGTAACATAATTATAACAATGTTCAAACAATCATATCTAATGAAGCGCTTGGTCAGTACACATTGTAAAAATGATTAGCCTACAAACATAATTTGTTCTAAAGTAAAGATTTTACTGTTAGACTCCATAAGAATATAAAGTATTCAGTTCAATTCAAATTGCATCAAGCATCCCTCTACTTTGCTCATCAGGATGGCCGTCTGAGTCTACCTGAGATACTTGACAAGATGGACTTCATCAAGACCAGTACAATGACCGACTATGGAGGGATGAGGGTGGATGGCCGTGATGAACTGTGACTTCAGTTTGGTCCCATATACAAATGTTTTACACAAAAATCTATGACTTGTGAATATTTTCTTATCTGAATTGATTCATCCTATACAAATTTAAAACACTTAAGGCCACACTTATCTTACAAAACTGACTCATCTTTAAACTGGGGTACATGTTTATTAGTAATACATTTTTATTCATAATTCAATTCTTTAAATTTTGTATACATTTTCTGAGCTACAGTGAGTGTTACAAGAAACTACTGTTTGAGTTTCTACAGAGTTTCATCTACTTTTTAGCCTTAGCAGGGCATACTCTCTTACTGCTTTCTCCACTTCACCCGAGGAAAGCGTGGGAAGTGGGGGTGTGGTACTGTGGTACTATGGAGACTGCAGGTTTGGACACAGCCCAGTTGACTGATTCACTAACATACACACAGTGACAAAAATGTCAAGAAAGCATGTTTCAAAGTAAGAACATTACTGTGCATATCTAAGTGAATGAGGCCCGATGTGAAGATCTCCATCATGAACAGTGAAGCAGCTCAAATTTAAACAACAACAGATCTGCTTAGAACAGGACTTCATGCATGTTTAGAGCACCCACTCAAGTTTGTCAGACAATGCATTGGATTGTAAATTTCATCTATGATATGAACACAATAAAAACATTGAGACATTGCTTTATTTATAACTAAACTTACCTGTAGTCCATAAAAGCTGAAAAAATGTAAATACACTGGTACTTGTACATTTCTGCTCTGACTACTCAAAGCACTTTTCCTACAACACACACACTTTCATACAGCATATTTATGCACATCCTTACACTCGGCTAAGCATCAGGAGCAATTTGGAGATCAAAGACACTAAAGTGTGTGGACCACTAACCTTCTGATTAGTTCACAACCTGCGGTGCCTCCTGAGCACAAAATAAATCAAACCAAATAATAATAGTATGGATTTAAGCCTTAAATGCTGATTTATTTAAAGGAAATTGTTGACATTAATCTGTAAGAAACATTTGGATGGCAGTTTCAGCAAATCTGTGTTGTACAGTCAGCGGAAGCATTTTCCAGCAAAATAAAAATACATTCAGGAGGAAATACTGTCAAGCAAAAAGTCATAAGACATTATAAAGTAAGTTAGAAAGTTACAGAATGAGCACCACTGTGGAGTCTTCGGTCGCCTCACGCTTGCATCACTGGACGAGCCTCTTTGGCCGTGAGGTCAATCCCAGAACCTGCAAAGCCGGTTCCACCCTTTCAAAACACAAAGGACCACAGTACAGTTAAAGAGAGAAAAAGTCTCTGCTCCTCAAAAATCAGCTTTCAAACAGCGAACCACGTTTTCTGTGTCTGCCAGGTTGCAGCATGACACCTCTGATCTCTGAGTGACAGCAACAGAATTCATAACATTGGGATGAGTGTTCAAAAATAAACATTTGAAATCCTTTTTAAAAAAAAAACTGTTAGAATTATTTTTCACATACCCTCTGCAGTGGAATAATGTCTTTTTCAGAAAGTTTGTCTCCCGTCAGAGGATCAGTCATGTCCTTTCTGATCAACTTCTCCACACACTCCTGCGTCACCACAGCGCCCCTGAACACAGGACACATGTCACATAGGGCTGTGCGATATGACCAAAATCTCATATCCCGATATAAGACATCTATCATCCCGATAACGATATAAATCACAAACATTTTACATTTTCTGAAAGTTCTGCGAATCTCGGGCAGCTCGACTTGCGTGAAGTGTTTCCAGCTGGGTGTCGTGTACCTGGAGTTGAGTGTTTTAACCGATGCATGAAACTATACATTTTTAGACATAAGTTGTAACGGCCGCTTATTACACTTAGTATTTATTACACGGCGTGCTGCGGGGAAAAGCCTGTTCTAACGTTTGAGTCTAAGGTTTATTTTTTAGCACCTGACGGCTCTTTTTTGCTTCTCATCTGTAAATACTCTGCATACTCTTTCACTCAACAGGATCTTGAGCTTTATTCTGAAAGGTTTATGTGGAAAATAAACAAGCGGACACGTAATGGTTTTACCGTCGTTGTTGCTAACGACAACACATAAAAACAGGTGCTTGTCCGTCCTTAGCGTGGTTATATTATAAGAGAAAGAGAGAACTTTAAGAAATGAATATAGCCACTACAGTGACCATCAAAACGATGAAAAGAGTTTATTTTGCGACACCACGAAACAAACGATAGTGTAAAATGAAACGATAGATGTTTTTATATCGTCATCCGATATATATGGTTATATCGAACAGCCCTAATGTTACATATCCCCTCACACTCCAGAGAACATTGGACCCCATTTACTAACATTAGGGTGGAAATGATTTTATCCTGTGCAAAACATACATTTGTGTTCAAAATTTCTGTCTGATTTATGAAAGACGCGTAGCAGCTGATTCTGTTGTAACTCGGAATCGTTCGTAACCAGCAGCCATGTGAAAACTCCACACAATTTGCACACTGCCCTGCCCACATTTCTCGATATAAAGAAACACGTTGACAATGTTGTAGGAGAGAAGCCTGACTGTAGAAAATGGAATAACAGGAACCCGAGGTTTAAGGAGAAAGAAGTACAAACGCACGGTCTGTCATGGTCAAGAGAGAGCTGAGTGTTAAAACCAAAGTGTTCAATGATCCCCCAGACAAGCAGATTTATGAAAAACCCTTATAGACGAGGGACGGAGGTTGCTGAGGACAGGTGGGACTGGGCTTACTGGTATTAATTTGTACTAGTAAAAGTAATTTTAAAGACTTGTGCTCTAATTCTCAAGACAGCCAGGCTGTCATTTGTTGGTACGCATGGTCAGAGGGACTTCTAAATTTGTTCATAAACAAATACAGGTGGCACTCACGATGGTCGAAGAACAGCACAGGGAACACTGTTGCCCAAGACGTCTTTGGTCACTGTACATATGTACCTGTCCTGGAAAGAAATGACAAAATTATACAGCCTCAAGACAAAGTGAAGTTACCAGACTGATTACTCACAGAATTTTCATCTAAGACACAAAACAACTTGACTTAACCAATAACACACACAGCTGTTAAAAGGAGCTGCCATAGAGAAAGCTAACATCTTCCTGTGTGAATCTTCTAATTCAAATTCTGACTACACCTGCTTTGTTTATTCTTCAATTTAAATAACTTGTATTCACAGCTACAAAGAAGCGTGTAATGTAATGTTTTAGAAAAACATGCTAACAGCTACCAAGTCTGAGGGCTTGCATATATGAGATAAAATTTCTGATGCTCTAAGCCTGACAATCTATTTCTGTGTGCTGAGTAAACTGACCTGGCGGGTGAGCAGGGCAACTCGATCCAGACTTGGGTCCAAGGGGGTGAAACGCACTGTGATAAGCTCATTCATCTTAATGGGTTTTCCAGACATTGGACATAACACAGTCTTGCTCTGACAGATGTTAGAGATGGACAGAAAAGTGCAGCCATCACAAAATTATGCCATTACATTTTTAATAACTACTTCCCATAAATACTCAAATTTAGCAGTAAATATATTTGAGTAAGCGTAGTCACTAAGCTGTAGGAACTCTGTGACACCCTAAGATGTTTCCACATGATCATGATGTCAGGTCAACCTGACATTGGCCTCTGAAAGAGGGTCAACATCAAAAAGAGGAACGCAGAGTAAACATTCATACACTAAAACACTGACTAATAAAGTAAACAGGTAAACCTGGCAAACACACACAAATCTGGCCCACTTGTGCTCCAAGGTCTATTACACCAGCATTTTTAAGTAATTTCATGGCGGGTAGTTAACAAAGAGGTGTTCCTGTTTCTCTTTCACCGGTCTGTTTAAAAAGAAACAACAAAAAAACCCAGTGTAGCTCAACTCCTTCCTCGGCATGAGAAACATCATCAGTCACTCACTGGTTTCTTGAGAGCAGTGGGCTTGGCCTCTGGTGTCAGTGAGGGAATCCAAAAACTGGGCAGGCTCTGGCTGGAACTTGCAGCTGTGGCAGCACTGGATAATTCTCCAGGGCTGCTCTGTGTCCCGTCCTTCTCACTTCCAATGTTCTTACCTGAAAAAAAGAAAAAAGCAGTTTTGACAGAATTGTATTCATTATAAAAAATGTCTTAAAAAGAGTTTGGGTGCATTAAAACAACACAAGTGACGACAGCAGCAGCCATAGCGCAGAGTCTGTGGGGTAGAGTCTAAGCTTTGGTTCCCTCTTGTGGCCAACATCGTAAGGTATATTTTGACAGTCATGCACGCACCAGATGTGAAGGGGTTGATAGGTTTAGATACAATGCTGTTCTCCTTTGTTTTAAACCTCTCCACTCTCTCTCGCTCTTCTGACTTGGACTCAAGTTGGTTGCTGCTCCTCTGCGCCTGCTTCTGTTTCTCGTACGCCTGAAGAAATCAAGGAAGAAAATAAAGCCAAGCACTCACAGTTCTAGACAAGAGGCCATTATTTCTTAGAGAAAGCTCTTTCATATGTGTTGGCTGCAGTGTAGATTTTATGTTGTTTGTTTCATTGTTTACAGGAGTGACTATGAAGCAAGTTCAACATATCCAAGCTCTGTTTGGATTAGCTGGCTTAGCAAAGCCTAAAAAAACCCAGTCGCAATGGCGCTCATCAACCTTCTTTTTTAAGTGCGCTCTTTCAGGGTCTGTGTGCACTTGTATAAAAAGTCATTTAACTTTTGTCCTGCACAAAATGCATCAACAGTTAATATTTTAAATAGAGTTTTTTTATGCTATATGCTGTGTAACATGTACAGCTGAACATTAGAGCTCTGAAACTTTAAACTTTAAAATTTACTCATTGTCTTCTGGTCTGATGTGGAAATCACCTTATTGCCAAAGTCAAATTCAACTTTCTACTCAGTATTTTTGGTATTAAATATCAAACAAGCTCTGTTAATTCTGTCTAATCAAAAATATCAAACATTTTCTACATCACCAAATGAATACATGTAGATTCCAGTGACAAATAGCACACAGCTCGGTCTGCATGGCTTTCTTCTTCAGTGTTAGTTACCCCGATGATTAAGCCTTGATTCATAAAACAACCCCATGGTGTTTAGCTGTGGACGTGACTGTCCAAGCACCTGTGAGGAATTAAGAACAGTTAAGTGAGTTACTTACTTTCATCTTTTTGGCAATCTGTGTCTTTTGGTGAAGAATATATTCAAGAATGGCCTGTTTTTCATAGAGGTATCCATCTGGACTGGTCACACAAACAGAAACATGACAGTGTTACACATATGCTAACATTAGATCGTATGCTTTAATGTGTGTGTGTTTATTAGAGCTTATTATAATTACTCATAGTTCAATTAAATATGATTAATAACTAATTAAAAATATATAAAGCTTGGGAGCTCAGGTCTATTTGTCAGAAACTGTAGAATGCTGTGGCACAGAACTTGACCACTAGGTGAAGTCTCCTGACCTGTAATAAGATGGAGTTGGTGTGTGTTTGCTGATCACTTGCAAGACTGCACGACTGCCAAACAAGCATGATGCCAGATCTGTTTGACCTGGCTAACTGTGGTAACTGGTTGATACCAAGGCTCCCTGGATTAGACGGACTAATTTCGTTTAAATTACAAAGGAAAAATCTTACAGTCTGATGTCTACAGTGAAAGAATCTGGTTGTTTTTTTGTGCTGTGGAGTCATTTGT